ATCTTCCTCACAAGAGAGAAAACAACCCCAAAGAAAAAACCTCTCTTCTTCTCCAAAGCTAACGTCCAGCCTTCCCCGTCAACCAGGCAGCTACGCAAAATAGTCCACCAGCGAACCAAACAGCCCCTACGACCACCACCAGCTTCGTCGCCCAATTCGTCGTCACACAGCCTCCAGCCTCACGTCCAAACGACCCCTCCAATCGCCGGAAAAACCAGTACGACGCCTCCCTCACGTTCAAACAATCATAGCTGCTTCGTCATTCATCGAACACCAAACGCAACTGCTTCCTTCTTCAGCCCATCGCACATCCTCGCAAACACCATTTCCGTCCAGTTTCATCGTCAAACGACCACCCCTGGAAACTCAGCTGTTGTCTCGTCGTTCTTCAGGTTCAATCCGTCGAGGTCGTCGTTTGTCGTTCTGAGTTCGTCGAGGTTAAAAGGTCTGTTCTTCACTCTATTTCTTCTTATATTTTCAGATTTCATAATTAATTTGGTGTTCGAATGGAACATTGAAGTGGAAGTGATGTAAGAAATGGTCAAAGGGAAATAGGATGAACAACTGCTTATTTGTTCATCATTTGGATGATTTTGGCGCTACTAATAGGAGTATCTTATTTGTCGATGTTTATAACTATTATGGGGTTTCCTATACTCTATAATTGCAAGGTTATTTGAATATTTCAATTGATGTGCTGTCATCGTAATAGTCCAAATTAAATTTGATGTGATTTAATTTTTTTTCTTCTATTTATTTGCCTATATATGAACTTTTCAGATGGTGACATAAATAAATCCCTACTCGTACTAAAATATAAAGTAAGGATAAGGCCATTAGAAATAAACCATTTATATGTCACTTGACAAGTTGATAAATTACGTGGTCCTAGTCTTCTAAATATGACATGATTACCAAAAAATATAAAATAAATATAGTTGAATAAATTAATTAATACCTTGATCTTGTTCTTTTCTTTAGTTTTCTGTTGTTTCGTTTTGATTACTTATAATTGCATAGAATTTTGAACTAAAACAAAAACATCCAAAAGTTGCTATTTTTATGACATTAGTATTTCCTGATGTAGTCAATATATATTAGCATGTCTCTACCCTAGAGATGAACCTCGCCAAACAAAAATGCATGGGTTGCGGGGCCCTCATAAGTGTATATATTAAAAATACTTAGACTTCGGGATGAGCCATTTAGCTAATTGCACGGCCTTCCCCAAAATAATAACGCGTTAGACTCTTTAGGCGCGTATTTTAATAACATTACCTCCTTAAACTCGGGTGCACATTTATGTGACCCAAATCCAAATCTCAACGGAGTCGGAATGTGTCAAAAACTGCTGATACATTTATGTGACGCAGTTCGAGATGCATTTTCACGACTTTGCAATTCTCTTTAATAATAATAATAATAAAAGCGGTTAAAAGTTAAAATTTGCACATAAGTTCATCATGTAAAAATCAGATAATTAAGCTGGATATGACAGTTGAGCGACCGTGCTAGAACCACGGAACTCGGGAATGTCTAACACCTTCTCCCGGGTTAACAGAATTCCTTACTCGGATTTCTGGTTCGCGGACTGTTAAATAGAGTCATTCTTTTCCTCGATTCGGGATTAAAATCGGTGACTTGGGACACCATAAATCTCCCAAGTGGCGACTCTGATTCTTTAATAATAATCCCATTTCGATTGTCCTTTAATTGGAAAAACTCCTCTATGCCTTTGCGGGCGCGGGTAAAAAGGAGGTGTGACACAAAGCATTATATACCTAGATATGGATCTTCTCCACAGGCTGGATTGGCCCTACTCAGTACTGGGTGACTGATGGTCAGTTATGTATATATTCTGGGATGGATCTTTTCTGGGACGTATGGGCCATATACAGTACCGAGTGATTGAGAATTTGAGAGTGTGAGCACATGAGGCTGTCAGCATTGTGCATCACATATTGCATGTGCATTGGCATGTAGAAGTAGAGGAGTTATATTCTTCATAACATTCAGATTTGATCTATTTTATTGTTTTCAATTATCTGTTGAACTTGAAAGTATGCCTACATTTCTGTACTATTATTTTTGTATTGAACTGTGCCGGTTGAGTTCGTCACTACCTATAAGTCCAAATGTTGAATTTTTTACTTATTGAGTTGGTTGTACTCACGCTAAACCCTACATCTCGTATGCAGATCCAAGTGCTTCCGATCAGGGCGGCTGCTGATTGAGGAGTCAGGATCTGGGAGACTATCGAGGTAGTTGCATGGCGTTCGCAGGCCTTGACTCTCCTTCATTATCTTTATTTGTATTTCAATTCTTATTCCTTAGACTTTGTAGTAGACTGTATTCCAGTTTAGATGTTCATGCATTCGGTGACCCCCCCAATTTTGGGATAGATTACATTGTGTCATCACGGCAGTTGGTTTTGGGTCATGACAAGTTGGTATTAGAGCCTAGGTTATATAGGTCTCACGAGTCATGAGCAGGTTTAGTAGATTCTTGCGGATTGGTACGGAGACGTCTGTACTTATAGAGAACTTGTCGAACTCTTAGGAAACTTCACATTCTTGAATTATTATCGTGTGATTCTATTGATTCTTGTAACTGAACTTCTGTTATTCTATTCTCTCACAGATGGTGAGGATACGTACTACTCGGTAAGATGGATAGCCACCATTACCTTCAGCTAGGGCCGCAAGAGGCCGAGGTCGCGGTAGAGGCTGTGGTAGGGGTAGAGGTGCAGCTCGTACAACGGTTAGGGCAGCACCTGCAGACCCACCAGTTGCCCTAATCTCGGAGCAGGTTCCAGTTGCGGATAAGCCAGTAGGGCCAGCTCAAGTACCAGCTGTGCCTATTGTGATTCTAGGCCTTTAGGAGGCCATAGCTCAGATTTTGACCGTGTGCACTAGTCTTGCTCAGGAGGCCTCTGTTCCAACCGTAGTAGCCACTTCTCAGGCTGGGGGAGGTACTCAGATTCCCGCCGCTCGTACGCTAGAGCAGGTGATGAAAGGACTCCAAACACCGGGGGCACCACCAGCCCATCCGATTGCAGCTGCTCAGGACCATGAGGTTCCTGCTATGACTGAGGATGAGCAGAAGAGACTAGAGAGGTTCGGGAGACTCCAACCTCCATTTTTCAGTGGGGCAGAGTTGGAGGTTGCTCAGGACTTTTTGGACAAGTGTCAGCGGACTCTTCATATGGTCGGTATTCTAAAAACCGGTAGGGTCTCATTCACTACTTTTTAGTTCTCTAGGGCTTCTTTTAGTTGGTGGGAGGCTTATGAGAGGCGCAGGCCAGTCGGTGTAGCACCACTTATATGGAAGAATTTCTCAGTTCTCTTCTTAAGGAAGTTCATGTCGCAGTCTCGCAATGAGAAGTTGCGTAGATAGTTTGAGCAGTTATGTCAGGATGATATGTCTATGATGCAGTATGAGATGAAGTTTTTTGAGTTGGCTTGTCACGCATTTTGGTTGGTTCTCATTTATAGGGAGAAGATTAGGAGGTTCATTGATGACCTCACATATCATCTGCAATTGCTTATGACTCGAGAAAGGGTATCTGGTGCTACTTTTGATGAGGTAGTCGACATTGCTCGGTAGATTGAGATAGTCCGCAGTCAGGAGCGGGTAGAGAGGGAGGCCAAAAGGCCTCGTGGACCGGGTGGTTTCAGCAGTGTTCTTTCTAGGGTTAGTTCCACCATGGCAGGGGTCGTCCTTATAGGCATGCTCAGACGTCTCGTCCAGTTCATCATGTGCATCATTCAGCCATGGTTTATACAATACTTATCAGGGCTAGTCATCTCTTAGTGCCCTTCCAGCTTAGAGTTCGTCTCATGTACCTTCAGTTTAGGGTTCATCGGCACCGGGTTCTTCTAGTGAGTATTCTGGTGCTCGAGACTCCCTTTAGTCTCCACCGCCATTTGCAGGGTGGGGTTGTTTTGAGTGTGAAGATATGGGTCACATCAAAAGGCATTGTCCCCGCCTTTTAGGAGGTCCAACTTAGTAGAGAAGTCAGCCTACGACTTCAGTACCCGTTACTTTAACCCACCCCTCAGCTAACTCAAGGGTGGAGCACAGTCAACTAGGGTCTCCCTAGAGGGGGACGCCGATCAGGTGGCGGTCAGGCCCGATTCTATTCTATTCCTGTCATACCAGATGTTATTGCTTCAGATGTAGTGATCACAGGTATTGTCTCAGTTTGCCACAGGGATGCCTTTATATTATTTGACCCTGGTTCCACTTATTCGTATGTTTCATCATATTTTGCGCATTATCTGGATATGCCCTGTGAGTCCTTAGTTTCATCTATTCATGTCTCTATGCTTGTGGGTGATACTATTATTGTGGACTATGTATATCGGTCGTGTGTAGTGACTATTGGGAGTCTAGATACAAGAGTTGATCTCTTGCTACTTAGTATGGTCGATTTGACGTGATTTTAGGTATGGATTGGTTGTCTCCATGTCATACTATTTTGGATTTTCACGCTAAGACTGTGATGTTGGCGATGCCGAGGTTGCCGAGGATTGAGTGGAGAGGTTCTCTAGACTATGTTCCCAGTAGGGTGATTTCATATTTGAAGGCCCAGCAGATGGTTGAGAAAGGTTTTTTTTATCTTATTTGGACTTTGTGAAGTATGTTAATGCTTATACTCCCACTATTGATTATGTTACGGTGGTGCGGGAGTTTTCGAACATGTTTCCTGCGGACCTGTCGAGCATGCCGTCCAACAGGGATATTGCATGGCACCAGATGAGTTGAAGGAGTTGAAGGAGCAGCTTCAGGAACTCATTTATAAGGGGTTTATTAGGCCTAGTGTGTCGCCTTGGGGTGTACCAGTTCTGTTTATGAAGAAGAAGGTTTGTACCATGCGCGTGTGCATTGATTATAGGCAATTGAACAAAGTTACAATCAAGAATAAGTATCCTTTTGCCGCGTATTGATGATCTATTTGCCCAGCTTCAGGGAGCGAGAGTGTTCTCCAAGATTGATTTAAGGTCTGGGTATCACCAGTTAAAGATTCAGAAATCAGATATTTTAAAAACAACTTTCAGGACCCGTTATGGTCATTATGAGTTCCTTGTGATATTTTTTGGGCTGACCAATGCCCCAGCAGCGTTCATGCATCTGATAAACAGTGTGTTTCAGCCTTATCTTGACTCGTTTGTTATTGTGTTCATTGATGATATCCTGGTGTACTCTCATAGCAGGAGGAGCATGCCCAGCATTTGAGGATCGTGTTGCAGCAGTTGAGGGAGGAGAAGTTTTATGCTAAGTTCTCCAAGTATGAGTTTTGGCTCAGCTCAGTGGCATTCTTGGGGCACGTGGTGTCCAATGAGGGTATCAGGTGGATCTGAAGAAGATAGAGGCAGTTCAGAGTTAGCCTAGACCGTCCTCAGCTATGGAGATCCGGAGCTTTCTCGGCTTGGCCAGTTATTATCGTCATTTTGTGGAGGGGTTCTCGTCTATTGCATCGCCCTTGACCAAATTGACCCAAAAGGGTGCTCCTTTCAGGTGGTCGGATGAGTGTGAGGAGAGCTTTCAGAAGCTCAAGACTGCCTTGACCACAACTTCAGTTCTAGTTCTACCATCAGCTTCAGGTTCTTACATAATATATTGTGATGCTTCTCGGATCGATATTGGGTGTGTCTTGATGCAGGAGGGTAGAGATATAGAGTGATTGCTTATGATAAATGTCAGTTCAAGCCTCATGATAAGAACTACCACGTTCATGATTTGGAGTTAGCTGTCATCATTCATATATTGAAGATTTGGAGGCACTATATCTACGTTGCGCCTTGTGAAGTGTTTACGGATCATCGGAGCCTCCAGCACTTGTTCAAACAGAAGGATCTAGATTTGAGGCGGTGAAGATAGTTGGAGCTGCAAAAGGACTATGATATCACCATTCTGTATCACCTCGGAAAGTCCAATGTGGTGGCCGATGCCTTGAGTAGAAAGGCGATAGGTATGGCCAGTCTTGCATTCATTCCCATTGGTGAGAGACCTCTTGCAGTTGATGTTCAAGCCTTGGCCAACCACTTCGTGAGATTAGATATTTCGGAGCGCAGTCGGGTTCTAGCTTGTGTGGTTTCTCAGTCTTCCTTATTTGATCGCATCAAAGAGCTCCAGTATGATGATCCTCATTTGTTTGTCCTCAAGGACAAGGTTTAACACGATGATGCCAGAGATGTGACTATTGGAGATGATTGGGTGTTGAGGATGCAGGGCCGAATTTGTGTGCCTAATGTGGATGGGTTACGTGAGTTGAATCTTGAGGAGGCCTACAGTTCACGGTATTCCATTCATCCGGGTACCGCAAAGATGTACCAGGACCTGAGGCAGCACTATTGGTGGAGGAGAATGAATAAGGGTATAGTTGGGTTTGTAGCTCGGTGTCTTAACTGTCAACAGGTAAAGTATGAGCATTAGAGACCGGGTGGATTGCTTCAAAGGATAGACATGCCAGAGTGGAAATGGGAACGGATCACCATGGATTTCGTTGTTGATCTCCCACGGACTTTGAGAAAGTTTGATGATATTTGGATGATTGTGGATCGACTGACCAAGTCCACGCACTTTATTCCAGTTGGTACTACTTATTCTTCAAATCGGTTGGCTGAGATTTACATCTAATAAGAATGTCCGCCTTTACGGTGTGCCAGTGTCCATTATTTCAGATCGAGGCACGCAGTTTACATTGCAGTTTTGGAGACCTATGCAGTGAAAGTTGGGCACGAGGTTGAGTTGAGTACAACATTTCACCCTCAGACGGACGGACAATCCGAGCGCACTATTCAGATATTGGAGGACATGCTACGTGCTTGTGTCATTTATTTCGGGGGTTCATGGGACCTGTTTCTGCCGCTCACAGAGTTTGCCTACAACAACAATTATCAGTCGAGCATTCAGATGGCTCCATATGAGGCTTTACATGGGAGGCGATGTAGATCTCCGGTGGGTTGGTTTGATTCGGGTGAGGCTAGGCTATTGGGTACTAACTTGATTCAGGATGCATTGGACAAGGTTAAGTTTATTCAGGAACGGCTTCGCACGGTGCAGTCTAGATAGAAGAGTTAGGCCGGCAGGAAGGTCTGTGATGTTTCTTACATGGTTGGGGAGAAGGTTCTGCTGAAGGTCTCACCCATGAAGGGTGTTATGAGGTTCGGGAAGAAGGGTAAGTTTATCCCTCGATTTATTGGGCCTTTTGAGGTACTTTAGAAAATTGGGGAAGTGGCTTACAAGCTTGCCTTGCCTCCCAGTTTGTCCAGTGTGCATCCAGTATTTCATATTTCTATGCTTCGGAAGTATGTCGGTGATCCATCTCATGTTTTGGATTTCAGCATGGTTCAGTTGGATAGTTATTTGACTTATGATATGGAGTCGATGGCCATTTTGGATCAGCAGGATTGAAAGTTGAGGTCAAAGGATATAGCTTTAGTGAAGGTACAATGGAGAGGTCAGCCCGTTGAGAAGGCTACTTGGGAGACTGAGCGGGAGATGCAGAGCAGATATTCACACCTATCTGAGACTTCAGGTATGTTTCTAGACATGTTCGGGGATGAAGGTTTGTTTAAGAGGGGAGAATGTAACGACCCGGCAGATCGTTTCGAGAGTTGTAGCCTCATTCCCACATTTACTGCTTCTTTTATGCTCTATAGTTGTTATATGACTAATTGGGTTAGTTAATTCGGGTCCGGAGGGATTTCAGAGTGAATTGAGACACTTAGTCTCATAATTGAAAGCTTAAACTGGAAAAGTTGATCTGATGTTGGCTTATGAGTAAACCACCTCGGTTTGAATTTTAATGGTTCTGTTAGCACCGTTGGGTGATTTTGAACTTAAGAGCGTGTCCGGATTGTGATTTGGAGGTCCGTAGTAGAATTAAGCTTGAAATGGTGAAAATGGGAATTTTGAAAAGTTTGACCGGGGGTGGACTTTTTGATATCAGAGTCGGATTGGATTTCCGGAAGTTGGAGTAGGTTCATGATGTCATTTGTAACTTGTGTGCAAAATTTGAAGTCAGTCGGATGTGATTTGATAGGTTTCGAAGCCGTTAGTAAGATTTGAAAATTTCAAAGTTCATTAGGCTTGAATTGGGGTGTGATTCGTGTTTTGATGTTGTTTGAGGTGATTTGAAGGCCCGACTAAGTTCGTATGAGATTTTAAGACTTGTTGGTATGTTTGGTTGAGGTCCCGGTGCCTCGGGTTGATTTCGTATAATTTTCAGAACGAGGTTTGAAGTTGAAGAGCTGCTGAAGATTTGCAACTACTAGTGTAATCGCACCTGCGGAATGGGAACCGCAGGTGCGAGCTCACAGAAGCAAGAAGGTGACCGCAGAAGCGGCCAAGGAGGAAGCTGGCAGAGGTCGTAGGTGCGAGGTCCTTTCCGCACATGCATGTCCGCAAATGCACGTATTGGATCGCAGAAGCGCATGGGCGTTTGGTGAGGCAGCTTCGCAGAAGCGAACGACCCTTCACAATAGCGTGTCCGCAGAAGCAGACTGGGGTGCAGAAGCGTGAAAGGCCGTAGATGCGGTTAAGTGAACCGTAGAAGCGATTTTGCTGGGCAGAACTAAAAACACAAGGGTTTGCGATTTCCTTCATTTTCAAATATTTTGAGCTCAGTCTAAGGCGATTTTGGAGACGGTTTACGAGGGGATTATTGAGGTAAGTCCCTTATGCTAGGTTTTTTTCAATAATCTTGTATCCCATTGATTTTCCCACCTAGTTTGTGTGTTTTTGAGGTGTAATTTAGGGGTTTGAGGCTAGGGATTTAGAGAGTTGATTTGGAGGATTTGGTTGATGATTGGGTGTTGGATTTTGATAAAAATTGTATGGTTGAACTCGTGGTTGGATGGGCTTTAGGATTTTATGATTTTTGTTGTATTTCGAGATGTGGGCCCGGGGGCCGGCTTGGAGCCAAATTCGGATTTTTGAGTTGTAGCTTCGTAATTTCTTGTAGAATTGATTCCTTTAGCCCGTATTAATTATATTGTACTACTTGTGGATAGATTCGGGATATTTGGAGGCCTATTTGAAAGGCAAAGGCGTGCTGGAGTAGAGTTATTCTCGGATTGAGGTAAGTAACATTTCTAAACTTGGTTCTGAGGGTTCGAAACCCCAAATTATGTGTTATGTGATTGGTATTGAGGTGACGCACATTCCAAGTGACGGACGTGCGGGCATACACTATAAGAATTGTAACCTGGCTTGTTCCATGGCACTGTATAGTAGTTTTATCTTATTGATACCCATGTTTTTATCATGTGATAAAGTCATTGAGTTGCCAATCATGCTAGAGATTATGTTTAGGTTGTATGCCGGTACTGTTGGGACCCATAGTGGTTGTTTCTTGCTGTTATCTTACTGATTTTGTTGATATTTCGTACTCAGTCATACCCATTCATTTCATATCATTTCTCAGTATCTGTTGTGATTTATTGATACATCATATCATTGTTTTCGGGCTAGTTTCATGACATTGTGAGCCCGTGAGTGAGACTGGAGAGATTAATGACTTAGTAAGGCCGAGAGCCTGATTATAAGTGACATTTATGGCATCGGACTGCACATCGCATCAATTATACTAATTTATGATAGCACTTGGGCTGAAGGAGCCCCTCCAGAGTTTGCACACACCCCCAGTGAGCGGGGTTGGTATTAATGAGGGATGGATCTTCCCTGGACATGGATCTTGTCCGAAGCATTATATACCTAGATATAGATCTTCTCTACGGGATGGATTGGCCCTACTCGGTACTGGGTGACTGATGGTCAGTACCGAGTGATTGAGCATTTGAGAGTATTAGCACATGAGGCTGTCAACATGGTGCATTGCATATAGCATGTGCATTGGCATGTAGAAGTAGAGGAGTTATATTCTTCATAACATCCAGATTTGATCTATTTTACTGTTTTGAGTTATCTGTTAAACTTGAAAGCATGCCTACGTTTCTGCACTATTATTTCTGTATTGAACTGTGCCGGTTGCGTTCATCGTTACCTATCAGTTCAAATATTGGATTTTTTACTTTTTGAGTTGGTTGTACTCACGCTACACCCTGCACCTCGTATGCAGATCCAAGTGCTTCCGGTCATGGCGGCTGCTGATTGAGGAGTCAGGATCTGGGAGACTATCGAGGTAGCTGCATGGTGTTCGTAAGCCTTGACTCTCCTTCATTATCTTTATTTGTATTTCAGTTCTTATTTCTTAGACTTTGTAGTATCTATATTCCGATATAGATGCTCATGTACTCGGTGATACCCCGATTTTAGGATAGGTTGTAATCATCTCATTTAAAAGCTTAAGCTATTAAAGAGAGCAGACTTTTATTTACTTAATTATGTCTTCAATAGCTACATTGACGCCTTTGTACCCGCAGCTGATGTTTATTTTAATTTCTTGAGTTTTAGTATGGTTTTGGATATTTTAGGACCTTGAATTAAAATATTCATATCTTCATACATAAAGTTTTTGACAACCTGATCTAAGGTAATGTGATACAATCACAAGGTTAATATCTCGTTAATTTAAAATATTTTTTTCATTATAAATAAATATTACTACCAAATATTTCATGTGAAGCTAGAGGCATTATATCTTTATTAGAATACTTAGCTATAAACTTCAATTATGAAAACAAGAAAAGTGATACCAATATTTTGCTAACTTAATTTCTATTTTTTAAGTCGAGAAAAAAAAAGAAATCTCTCACATGGTTACTCTTCATGGTATCATCTTCAGTATATTACCTCTTATTCTTCACAGAATGAAAGTTCAAATCATACTTCATTACAGGCAAATCTGCACTATAGCTTTTTTAGAGAACCATGCTGAAGGAGCTATGAATTGAGCCTTATTTTTTTGTAGGACTAGTGTAGAAGAGATGTTAGAGGAAACCATTATTCACGCTATCTAACTTGTCTCCATAATTCTTAATAAAACATTGAACATGTTGCATGAATTGTCCGTATAAACTAGTTTTTCTCCTGAAAAATAGCATTGTCGTTGATCGTGAAATGGAGCGCAACCCCTTTCTTCCAAAAAGAATTCAAGAACGTCTCTTAGGTTACACTGCTTATTTATTTCAATGCTTTCACTATTCATTTGCTTTTGCTCTTTCATAATCAATGTATTATTCACTTAGAGAAATTGTAGTGATACAGGGTAAATACAAGAGTATTCTAGGTTGTGAACGGGAACTATAATAAAGCTTTACCATATCACAAAATAACGTAACTTTTATCGTTTCAATTTTCTGGTACGTTCTCCTTATTAGGTGCTAAATGCAATGATGCCCCTCTCTGGTTGAGAATTTCTATCCAGAACTTAATCTGAATAATCAAATGGAAATGTCTCTAATTTCATGACAATAGTTAACTTGCATTGTCATCCACTAACTTCCGATATGAACAGATTCTTATCAATCAGCTTAAATAGAAAATATTTCCTACCTGGAAAGCATTATCTTCTAACATATTCCCTCCACACTTTCTGAAGTTGAAGTCTTAACAATCTTTCATAACTAAAACAGACCAGCTAGCACGATGAATTCAAATGACTGACTCCTCTTCATATATCTTTTGCCGAATGCAACCGGCATTCTGCATAGGCACAAACAAACATTCTCGAGCGCAATTCATAGTTCATAATCAAGTGATCAATAGCAACAGTCATGACTCGAAAATAGTACTTTAAGTAGTAGACAAACTTCTCATCAACAATCAAATTATTTTGAAGAGTGTCATTTCACCAATACGATTCACTTAGTTCATGTTACTGCAAAGGCACTAATAAGAATGGATCAACCGTCTACTGATTGAATATAGTACAGATGATTAAGTTCTTCATCTGTTTTTGTGGAGGTAAAACATCTTCTTTTAATCAGATACTTGAGATTACTGAAACACCAAGAATCAAAGAGTAATTTTTACAAAATCTTAGATATTACATACCTCTAGACTCTAAAGTGCAAGGTAGTTAAACTTAGTGCCGCATTCAAAGTATGAGATACAAGTTCATAGGTTTACCCAGTAGCTTTTATCTAGACCTTATATATAAAAGTCCACTAAATATCTATAAATATTTTACTGTAAATCTAAGTATTATTGTGTATTAACTTGCGGTAATTTTAGGAACTAATGAACTTCAAATCACGAACCGCCTCTACTCAAAAAAGCTAGGAACTTCGCTTGGTCAAAGTCTTCATATCATCCCTTTTAGTCAACAATTTGTACTCTAAAGCTTAACCATATACCCTGTTAATGTTCATGCCGAATATGTGAATGGATTTACGTATGGATATGGGCCTTATATTAGGCCGAATATGTTCATTTCAGCATAGCTCTCCTTATGGAGGAGTATTCAGATGTGGGGTGTTATTTCGTCGTCGGCTATTTCATGTAATGCTATATTGTGCCGTGTGAATTATGAACAACTCGATAATTTTCTTATGTATTGAGGTTCCGCGTAGCGATGGTTATATGTGAGTAGGATGGCTCTTTAGCTTCAGAACATATATCGCACCTCAATTGTGCTTGAGTTTGTTAGCTTATGGCGCAATATGTCCCCTCAGGGATGGTATTATTCACTTAGCATGCTTGGGACCGATATTCAATATTTTGTTGTAATGAGCAACTTAGCTCGGTGTGTATCTCCTTATGTGAATTTTATGTGTGGATTGGGTGGCACGCCGCCATGGGTATGTTGTTTGGATCGGGTTGCACGCCGCCATGGTATGATGTTGAGTACAGTTTTCTGTATTCTAATTTTTGTGTGTCTTGTTTTACATTTTTTGAGGAAAGTCCATATTAGCAGCGTAAGTTAAGTAGTCTCTTCCAGAGTTCTGTTTCCTTATGTATCACGTTCGAGTTGGTAGCCTATTGGCATATTGTGGCATCATACGAGACTTTTGGTTATGTCTGGGGTGGCTTGTTGCTTGAGCAGTTCGTACTGGGTCAGACAAGGTAAGGTTGATTCAGGAGAGGCTTCGCACAGCTCAGTCTAGACAAAAGAGTTATGCAGATCAGAAGGTGCGTGATGTGTCATTCATGGTTGGCGAGAAGGTCCTCTTGAAAGTCTCGCCAATGAAAGGTGTTATAAGGTTTAGGAAGAAGGGCAAGCTGAGCCCAAGGTTTATTGGCCCATTTAAGGTGTTGAGGCGAGTTGGGGAGGTTTCTTACGAGCTTGACTTACCTCCCCCCCCCAATTTATCAAGAATTCACCTAGTTTTCACGTGTCTATGCTTCGGAGGTATCATGTCGACTTGTCCCATGTGTTAGACTTTAGTACTATTCAGTTAGATGAGAGCCTGAGTTACGAGGAGGAGCTAGTTGCCATTATTGATAGACAGGATCTCTAGTTAAGATTCAAGAGGATTTCAGTGGTAAAGGTCCAGTGGAGGGGCCAACCAGTCGAGGAGGTGACCTGGGAGTCCGAGGAGGACATGCGGAGCAGATACCCACATTTATTCAACACTTCAGGTACTTTTCTATGTCCGTTCAAGGACGACGTTTGTTTAACAGGTGGAGAATGTAACGGCCCGACTGGTTATTTTGCTTGTTAGAACCTCGTCCCCCTAAATAAAACATCCCGCACTTACTTTAACTAATTTACGACCTGCGGGGATGGTTGGTTAGGGATTTGGAAGAATTTGGGTTGAAATATGCTCATTTGATTCCTTAAGATATTCTTAAAAGGCTAAGTTTGACCTTAGTCAACATTTTTAGTAAACGGACTCAGATTCGTGTTTTGAAGGTCCCGGAGGGTCCGTAGGAAATGATGGGACATGGGCGTAATCGAATTCCGAGGTCCCTATACCAAGTAATGAATTTTCATTAGAAATTGTTAAACTGAAATTCTAAGGATTTAAAGAAAATAAATAATGATTGATCACGTTGGTGTCGGGCTCGTATGTTGGTTCCAGAGCCCAGTACATGTCCAATATAACATTTAAGACCTGCCCGCAAAATTTGGTGTCAATCCGAGTAGTATAAGTACGTTTTGGCACGTTAGAAATGAATTTAAGAACTTGAAGTTCATAAGTTTGATTCAATTGGTTTTAGGGGGTGATTCGCAGATTTAGCGTTGTTTTGGGTGTTCCAAAGGTTCGAGCAGGTCCGTTTCATGATTTCAGACTTGTCGGTATGTTCAGGCCGGGCCTGGGAGCCCCAAGCGTCAATCGGACGAGGCTTGAGTGAAGTTGGAAAAGTTGAAAAGAGCTGAAGCATCTAGTTTCTGTCATAACCGCACCTGCGATTGGTTAGCCGCAGGTGTGAAACCACAGAAGCAATCGTCATCTCGCAGATACGGCCAAGGTAGGCCAGGCTCAAAACCGCAGAAGCGGCTCCCAAGCCGCAGAAGCGATCCCAGCCCCGCTTGGCCAATTCCGCAGATGCGGCCACTTTCTCGCAGATGCGGTCCCTTGACCGCAGATGTGGAAATTACTGAAGTAGTGAGCTTCATTTATTACGGGCTCTAAGTCGTTTTGGCCATTTTTCACTCATCCATTAGGCGATTTTGGAGCTCTTGTGAGAGGACCTTCACCTAGCATCTTGAGGTAAGTTTATCCTATCTATTTCTAGTTTAATACTCGAGTCTTGGGTAGATTAACACACAAAGATTTGGGTAAAATCATAGGGTTAGAGCAAGACCTAGGGTTTTGGCAAAAGCTAGATTTGACCACGAAATTTGTTATGAAATGAATTAGAAATCATATATTATTGATCCTTGCGTTATAAAGAACAACTTTCTTTGAAAATTTTCGAAATCTGGGCACGTGAGCCCGGGGATGGATTTTAGGAAACTTGTATTTAAGGTTGGAAAATTGCTTTAATAGTTAGAATGTGATCTTGTGAGCTTATTTTAACTAGTTTTGGGTCGTTCGGCTCCAAATTGACAGTTCGGGCTCGTTCTTGGTATTGGAAGTGCACTTTGGAGCGAGTTGAGTCTCCTTTCTAACCTTGTAAGAGGAAATTGTCCCCATAAGAGTGAAAATTGTATAATTTGTCACTAAATGCGAAGGCTACGTATGCACTAGGTGACGAGAGTCCGTGCGTAGCTACTATCATGTTAATTGTCCAGGTAATTTAGGACCCATATCATGCTATATTTGCTAATGTTATATGCCTTCTTGATATTGTGATCATTTAGGATATGCTAGAGAACTGGAAATGAACATAAGTGAACATATGTTGTGTTGAGCACTTGTATGAGTTTACTTGAATATAAATGCGCCTTCTTATATTTTTCTGTTGATAATTGATATTTTTGGATCGGGCTGATCGCCTCGGTAGAAATAGATGCATCTATGGTTCGTGTCATTCGACCATCTGGCAGTGCACATTTTATGTTGGACCGGGTCGTCGACCTCGGCATGACGTGCACATGATATCTATGTGAATTTATTATTGATGACTTGCCTGATAC